CAAGGCATATGTATTCAAGGCAACTGATTATTGAGGAAGGCGGGTGAGATATGGTATTGTACTATCCTTGAACCTTTTTATTTTACAGTAATATTGTTAGAATGCATTTGCTGTTCGTAATGCATACAATTATATGGCTCCTCGTCCCTGGAAACCAATCTGTCACAAGTGGGCTACGAACAACACTTTGTGCAAAGTCAAGGCATTGGTTTCTCCTTTGCGATAAAGTATGTTTGTTACATTTGTCAAAAGCTACAATATAAGATATATAATTATTACCAAGTATGATTTAACATGCTCTTTTCTGAATCGTTTCTAGTAGGTACTCCTGCCTTTTTGTGAGATATCCGTAATTCTCATTCAGATTGTTCCGCCCTTTTACAGCATTACAAATCTATTAATTCTAGGGACTTCCTCCGTAACATTCGAACATGGTAAAACATGGTATTTTTTTTATAGCATACCACTATCATCGACGTTGTTTTAAACTTTGTCTCTATAGTTAAACAAAGTACCCCGACATCGAAAAAATAAGCTGGATAATACAATTAAATAGTGATATTCTCAAATCGCCTGCTGCTAGGACACTTTTTTTGTCTAAACCATAAAAATTAGAATAATCATACAAAAGGCATTTTAAGCTACCTGCACTATGAATATTGGTCTGCGTCCTATTTGGCTACGTATCGATTACTGAAGCCATCATTATATAATCAGCTTGGATTCAGGAAGCTAAACTTGTGGGAAGTCTTTATATATAGCGGCAATGTTGGTATGACTTTCGTGGAGAGGTGCGCTTATGATATTGCGGATCACCGAAGCTGCACGTATACTTCACAATCATATAATTACCAAGCATTCGTCGGATGCAACAAACCAGGTGAGACGTTTACCAAGTCAAAGGTGGGCGAACAATTGATAATACGATACAAAGTATAGACTTACTTTCAGCGACTTTAAACAACGAAAACTCAACATAGTTTAGGTATTTATATTTTACTTACTCTAAAGCAGAAAAATGAACTCGCGTACAGAAGAATGAAAATTGAGTAATTAAAATCTTTATATTTTGGAGGGGTTTCATCATGATTTTACTATTATGGTTGTGTGTGTGTGTGTATTTGGTTTTTTACAGACGTGTATCAATCAGATATGATTATTTACGTCTGGGGACCGACCTTTAACGTCACCATCCGAAAGACGTGACTCAGTTTCGAACCTGCGTCCTCGGCTGAATCAGTTTGTAACTTCCACTGTTAGCTGGATTACAGGCGCACGCCACAATTGTAATAATAATGGTTGATGAAATAACTTTAAACTCGGAAAATATATACAGTTTGTCATATTGGTTCTATGCTAAGCTATTTATTCGCGAATCTAAACCTGATTCTTACCTTGACCCTATCGCCAAAACTATGCGTTAGTGAATTAGTTGAAATTACTTGAATTTTCTCCTACCTTACCGTTTCACTTACAGCGTCTTGTAAGACTTTGAATTACGTGCAGTTTAACAATTTCAACACAGAATTGTGCAATAAACACATTTCCATAAGCATGATCAAAATGATTACAGCTGGCATATCTAAATCACACAACATAGCATCTCGATATAGTATAATAATTTATTGTCTTTGGTTTCCACTATAGTTAGGCGAGGCGTCAAAAATATCGATACTAGCAGGCTGCCGCCTGACGTATTGGCGCATCGAGGCTGCAATTACGGCCGAAGCCTGGCTGGGGCAATTATTTTTCTTTTATTAGCCCAGCCGGCTTGCGCCAGGCTGGGATCTGAGGCTCGGTTTCCATTCGAAAGGCGGTAGCCGGCGCATGCTTTTGAATGCTATTTCCTACCGCCAGCGGTAGCCGGCTGAGCTAATTTTAAAAATGCAGCCAGGACGCACAAGTGCAGTTAGCTGCCGCTGGCTGGTATATTTATTGTTGACGCCTCGCCTTACAGAGTATTACAATACAAATATATAAATGAAATATTACACGACAGTGATAAACATACATAATGAATGAGATAATATATGAGTAAGCCACGGTATATATGGTGGTTATAGAGGTAATAGCAGATTCCATTTTACAAAATATAAAGCTAAATTATTTAATATCATTAATTATCCATAGTACATCTTAAAATGATAATAAATACATAAATTATTATTATTATTATTGTATTATTATTATTAATATCATTATTTTTATCGATTACCATTTTCAGTAGTATAATAATTACCGGCATCGTTATTATTGTCAACTTGATTGATGACACATAGATTGTAGTTACTGGCTCGATCGGTAATTGATAGTTGGATGCAATATACATGGCATATGTTTGAAATTTATATTATATTACATTTATATTGATACATTGACATGGTAGGTTCATAGTAATCAAACACGTTTTGCTTTGGAATTGAAAATATGAATGGAGTCGGGGATAAAGGATCTTCGGATACGTTCATGTTGGGTTCGTGGTGTGCACAGGCGTATTCCAGATCTGTTATAATTGAAAGGCTCATTCATTTGGTGCGAGGGGTCATGCATTATTTGTTTTACTTTAGAAAGGAAATTTTTCTGATACAGATATTCTATGGACGTTAGATCGGCTCCTGTGATACGTTTTGCTGCCTTTTTTGGGACGTTCGAGTAGTTTGTTTGGCAGCAATTTTAGCGTTTGCATAATAGCAAATTAGGTTGAAGGTTAGGACACTCTAAATTAGGGACTTAAAGAGATGGTTCATTGAAATGTGGAAAATGGGCAAATTACATCTCTACAGATTGCTGAGACCATTAACAAAATGAGCAAAGTACTTTTGAAGCCCTCACTGTTGTGAGGAATAAATTAAACGCAATTTTGTTACCCTTTCCTGAACCCACTCACTAAGTGAATTGACGGCGTTATTTTACATGCGAAACGATGACGTCACAATATGAACAACCTACATCACACATTCGGGACAATGGTGGATACCCATTGCAATTTTCAGATATGGGTTAATGTTGTTTGTATATTTACCGCCAGTGGAGATATTTCCTCTTTTTGGGGCATTTTGAATGAGATAAACTGAATAAATGATACTTTCTACAAATGTTTGTTTGATTTTTATATTTTTTTTCGTCACATTTTAGCATAAAAATCGGGAAAATAATCACATATTCTGAGGGCACTTTAGCGTGTATGTGTCTGATCTGGGAAGGCAAAGGACATTTTTCATGCTGACCTAACGACTCTTTTGGAGTAAAATAGGCGACAAATTTACATAGAATTGTCCAGATATTCATTACAAAAATGTGTGATTAGGCTGATTAGTTTACATTTTTGATAAATTAGTCGTATAGGACCTGATAAACCGAGAGAAACAGATCAGCCCGGTTCGCGATTCACGGCTAGCTCGAGCGCCGGGCTACGTGCTAGGCTGGCTAGCAAGCTGCTGTGTGATGCGCGCTAGATTGTGATGCATGCGAGGTCAGTGTATTGCACACATAGTACATGCACAGAGTACGCACGCACAGCTACCAGCTACGGGAAACTTGAACGCTACATCGACGATATATTCACTCGCTTTTTGGAAGTTATATACCATTTATCTAGACTAACGTCAGATTAATAAATGACACATATTTGGAAAGATTAGGTCCTCCTCTTTCGGTTGATGCAACTCAAATAATGCATATTTCACGCATGAGTGATTAAAATGAATTTAAAGATAATGGAAACCAAAATGTCATTTGGCGGACCGTAACTGAACTTCAAAAAAAAAATCACATTTCTAGAAAGTTGAGTTTCCGCCTTTCATTTGACACCTCAATCAGGAAAAATGAGCAAGGAATAACACAGTTCTGTTTGATTAAGGTAGTACTTGCATTTCCATAATTTTTTTCGAACGAACTCGTTTCCACTAGCTGCCCGCCGTAGTAACAAGCAACATTGACAACATACTTAACTCCGTTTCGTTGGCAATCAGCCATGCATGAAGTCTTTCGTCTACGGCTGATTGTCAACGAAACGGAGTTAAGTCCTTTGTAGGCAGCTAGTGAAAACAAATATGTTTGATAAAATTATGGAAATGCAAGCACTACTTTAAACAAACAGAACTTTGTCATTCCTTGCTCATTTTTTCTGATTAAGGTGTCATATAAAAGGAAAGAAATTCAACCTTCTAGAAATGTGATTTTCTCCTAGAAATTCAGATACCGTGCGCCAAATGACATGTTGGTTTCCTCTCTTCAAATTCATTTTAATCACTCAAGCGTGAAATATGCATTATATGAGTTGCATCAAATGAAAGAGGAGAATCTAATGAATTCCGAATACACTAACTTGCAATGTCAAGCCTTGGGGTCACTTTCACGATTGTGTGTTACTCCGAAGGTTTTAAATTTGCGAGGATTTGTTATTCTCAAAGATTTGTAGTCTGACGGCTCATAATTTTGAAAGACGCTAACGTGCTATTTTGTTGAAGTTTTGCAATTCTCAATATGAAATAAGGTGCATGATTATAAATATAAAAAAAATTACGTTAATCTCAATGTTTGTAATTCTAAAATTATTAAGTTAATTATAGGGACAATACAAATGGCAATTATGAATCTATTCCACAGTTGCAATTACAAACCATCTCTATTTTTTAAGTTTATAATCCATATAGCATTGTTGGCATTGATACAAAAGATCAAACCTTTGTAGTAACAGTACTTTGGAACAGCCATCACAATATTGAGCCGTCGGACTTACTTTAAAACGTTGAATGTTTTGCATGAAAGTGGCTTGGTACCGATTATATTACTCTATCAATATGTGTTGATACTCGATAAAAAAAAATCGCATAATTTATCCCATGTGCGAATTATCAAATTAACATTTTAAAAAGACGATCTTCTTCTGCATATGACCTGATGCAGAAAAATATAACCTGTCCTGCATTTAATTAATTTTAAGTTAAAGTAAACCGATCACATTGCCAAATTAGTCAGATAAAAATCAAATATCTTACGTTTGGCTGGTTCTTGGCAAGACATTTCCGGTCCACTCCAAATTCCACTGTTGTTACAATGGAGGGTAAAACGATCGTTGCTTGCATCACAAGTTACAATCACGTCATCACCTGGGTTGTAGGTTATTCGGTAGAATGCAATGGTAGAATGTCTTGGAATAACAGGAGCACTGCATTGAGATGGAGCTGATCGTAAAATGTTACATAAAGTCATTGGAGGGTGAGGTTCGATGCAACAAGGAAAACACGTATGTAGCATAAGAACATGAATAAATAATCAGGTAATAGTAAAGACAGCATCAGTAATATAACGAAAAAAAATATACAACTGTCAATAGCATTGTTAAGCCTAGTCTAGCACAGACAACGATGATATTAGAATAAAAATGTGAAGTCAACACTATACACATCTGTGAAGCACCTTACACATAATATTGCCCTTATTATATTGAGCATTATTTCCAGCTCCTCAGCAGGTATTCTCATCAATTATTCACAATGACAACACCTCAATTAAATCGCAGTCTGTCCCAGGTAAAATGATAGATCGTCTTATTTTCCCCCGATAATTAAGTATACAAAATGTATCAATGCTTAGACAAGGATATTGATACATATACATGGCCATGTTGATTGTGTAGTTATAACAAAATATACAGACATCAATAATATTTGTTAGGATCCCACACACATACATACATAATTATTCAATTTCTAAAAATATGTCCTTTATAGTATGGTTAAATGTTATTTTGTTATAGATACATCAGGCATTTGGGACAATTTTAATTGTGTTGGTCAAACTCTTTTTTAAATTGTAAACTCTCACAATTGGTACAGCACCTGTCAGTGTTCCCTGGATCTAATTTCAGATTCATTCTATATATCCCCACTATCATGACCATTGATCTGGGGCTTGTATAATGAGAAAAGCGGTCGAATTCGGAGGGGGGGGGGGGGTAAGTGAATGCAATCAAATCAAAATTGAAAGTCTTACATTGCGGAGGTCTAGGACAGGACACCACTTGGCCTGTCCATTGACCTTTCGTGCGACACCGAAGAGTAAACTGAGCAGTGCTGCTGTCACATGTCACGGTAATGCTGTCATCATAGTCATAATTCAGTTGCAGGTTTTGAATGGTTGCATATCTTGAAACGTAAGGGGCACTGCATTTCTCCGGAACTGTAAAGAAAATCAAGTACAGATGATGGTTGGTACAACAGACATTTATCTACTTTTGAGTATTATCTGATTTTTCCCTAAGCGTAAACGGGGTTAAACGGGTGCTGCTGAGTGGTAAAAGGAAAACAATTGAGAGGTTTCCTGAAATAATCTGTTGACCACAACCACCACCGACAAAAAATATACACGTGAACGCGTAGGAGGATTGGGGTGCTAAATATTATGTATTTATTTACAAGTTAGCAGATGATAGGTGGGTGGATCATTGAATAATGATTAATGATTAATTAATAAGACATTAACCTAACCTTCTATCGGCGGTGAGCAAGTAGAAACGCTACCCGTCCAAAACCCATCTGAGTCGCACTGAAGGGTAAACGACCTGTCTGTATTGCTGTCACAGGTGATTGTTACACTCTCACCGATGATGTAGGCCAAACGTATGTTTTCAGCTGATGCATACTTTGGGATGTATGGACTAGTGCACCGTGTAGGGGCTGTGAATGGAAACGCATACGTATGTTTATTACAAAATCATAAGCAGTTTAGACAGAGAACGTTATGATCAATATCTACAAGTTAGGAGCTGATTTATAGATACCATAATGTACATTGTTGGTCATAAAGATGGAATAATTTTCGTTAACCAAATTTATGGAATGATCTTGACAAAGATTTATTCCCAATAAACCTAGAATATTTCATTGTCAAAATTATTCCAAAAATTGGGGTAAAAAAAATATTACACCTTCACGACTGGGCTCGTATAGTGCGAAAGCCAGTGGACATTTTTTTTTTTTTTTTTTTTTTTTTTTTTGGGGGGGGGGGGTTCAGACAAAAACAATGAATCAAATCAAATCAAATTCAAAAATAAAAAGGGTTACCTGGGATAGGTACGGGACAAGAAACTTCCTGGCCACGCCATCGACCTTTCGTGTCACACCGAAGGTTAAACTGAGCAGTGCTGCTGTCACATGTAACAGTAATACTGGCACCGTAGTCATAATTCAGTTGCAGGTTTTGAATGGTTGCATATCGTGAAACGTAAGGGGCACTGCAATTCTCCGGAGCTGTACAGAAAATCAAATAAAGATGATAGTTGGTACAACAAACATTTATCTACTTGAAATGTTATTTTATTATATCTACGGACGAAAACAGGAGAAACTAAGAATAATGTTGTTGAGTGATAACAGAAAACAATGAAGTGGTTGGATTGAATCTTATTTTGACTACAACCACTAACAACGCCAAGTGTTAGGCTCATTATTTACGTATGCGCGTAGGATCAATGGGGTTATATATGTTCTTTGATATTTAACTCTTATCCTGCCACAGGGCTAATCCCCCCAGTGCCAGATTTATAACGAGATAATCGGATTAACGCGATGGTACTAACAATAGAGCGTGCAAAGCACTAGGCACAGTCCAATAGGCATGAACAATAACTGCTATTACGAATGTTTGCTAGCATGCAAGAAGCAGCGTAACAATAGCGTGCACGCAGCCTCATGGCAGGCTATGAGTTAAAGGTTTTGGACAATAGATAGGTGGGTAAATAAATGAATAATAATTAATGAATAGATGAATAATAAATAAAGCTAACCTTCTTTCGGCTGTGTGCAAGAAAGGACACTACCCGTCCAAAACCCATCTGGGTTGCACTGAAGAGTAAACGACCTGTCTGTGTTGCTGTCACAGGTGATTGTTACACTCTCACCGAGGCTGTAGACGAAACGTATGTTTTCAGCTGATGCGTACTTTGGGATGTATGGACTAGTGCATCGTATAGGGGCTGTGAATGGAAATAAAAAACGTATGTTAATTTAACAAAAAAAAATATTTGTAGTTTAGACAGAGAAAGTTTGATCAATATCTACAGTTTAAAGTAGGAGCTGACTTATTGATACCATGATGCACATGCTACAATTATGGATAATGTCGAATACCTTTACGACAAATATCGCAGCAATCAATCTCGAACCTTACGTACTGGACCTCCTAACTTTAACTATCAATACCTATCTCTATAAATTCTTCGTCTCGAGATAGCCTTAGTTATAATCACAAGTGACGATATATCCGAAGTTCTCATGTTAAGCCCAGTTCAAAATGTTACCTGATAATAAGTCGGGTCTTGAGTTACGTGCCAAACCAGTTTCTCTGTTAATGTCATAACATATTGGGCAATTAAATTGTCGTTGGTTAAACCCTTTTTGGAAATGTGAACTTTTATAATTTGCACAGTTACTTTTCCCTGGATCTAATATGAAGATTTAATTTATCTTCCTCTTTCATCATGACCATTAATTGATGGCTCATATATTGCGAAAGCCAGTCGAAAGGGGGGGGGGGGGGGGGTTCAGGGAGAAACATTGAATAAAAAAATAAAAAAATACAATTAAAAGTCTAACCTGGGGTAGGTACAGGACATGACACTACATGTCCGTTCCATCGACCTTTCGTGTCACACTGAAGGTTAAACCGATCACTGCTATTGTCACATGTCACGGTAATGCTGTCACCATAGTCATAATTCAGTTGCAGGCCTTGGATGGATGCATATCTTGGAACGTAAGGGGCACTGCACTTATCCGGAACTGTAAAGAAAATCAAGTAAAGTTGATAGTTGGTACAACAAACATTTATCTACTTGAAATGTAATTTGAATATATCTTTGGACATAAAAGGGAAAATACACTATAATGTTGTTGAGTGATAACACAGACAAAATTAAGTGTTTCAATGCTAATTTTTTTTTACCACAATTACGAACAACAACAACTGCACAGTTCATTATATTCGTGTGTGCGTAGGGTCATATGTGCTCTATATATTAGGTATTATTTACAAGTTCTTTACAATTGATAACTATAGGTAGATAAATGAATTAATTGTTAATTAATAATATGTATAGCTAACCTTCTACGGGCGGTGAGCAAGTAGAAACGCTACCCGTCCAAAACCCATCTGAGTCGCACTGAAGGGTAAACGACCTGTTTGTGTTGCTGTCACAGGTGATTGTTACACTCTCACCGATGCTGTAGGCCAAACGTACGTTTTCAGCTGATGCATACTTTGGGATGTATGGACTAGTGCACCGTGTAGGGGCTGTGAATGGAAACGCATACGTATGTTTATTAAAAAATCATAAGCAGTTTAGACAGAGAAAGGTATGATTAAATATACAATTTTTAACCTCTTTTACAGATACCACATGAACGTGATAGAATTATAAATAATGTCAAACAGTGTTACAACCAATACTGCAGCAATCAATCTCCATCCCTAAGTACTGGACCTCCTAGCTTTAAATATTAACATCTATGTCTATTGTTGTTGTTCAAACTCTACTGGAAATCAAATCTTATTCGCTCAGAAAATGGCATTTTTCCCTGGATCTTATTTCATTTTTCTGCTATCCCCCTTTACCATCACGGCCATGAATATTGGGCTCGTAGATTGCGAAAGCTAGTCGAAATTGGGGGGGGGGGGGGGGAGTTTCAGACAAAAACAATTAGTCAAATCATATTCAAATCAAATAAATTAAGAATTAAAAAAAGTCTTACCTAGGGTAGGTACGGGACAAGAAACGTCCTGCCCTCTCCATCGACCTTTCGCGTCACACTGAAGGTAAAACCGAGCACTGCTATTGTCACATGTAACAGTAATACTGTCACCGTAGTCATAATTTAGTTGCATGTTTATAATGGTTGCATATCGTGAAACGTAAGGGGCACTGCACTTATCCGGAGCTGTACAAAAAATCAAATAAAGATGATAGTTGGTACATCAAACATTTACTTACTTTAAAACTTATTTGAGTATATCTCTGGACGTAAACAGGAGAAACAAAGAATGATGTAAATGAGTGATAACACAGACAAAATTAAGTGGTTGGATGCTATCGTTTTTTTTGTACCACAACCAAGAACAACATCAATCTATACAGTTAATTAAATACGTGTGTGCGTTTGGGCTTAGGTATTATTTACACGTTTTTTTTAATATTGATGGCTTGGTAAATAAATAACTCATAAATAAAGCTAACCTTCTAACGGCGGTGGGCAAGAATGAAAACCACCCGTCCAAAACCCATCTGCTTTGCACTGAAGGGTAAACGACCTGTCTGTTCCGCTGTCACAGGTGATTGTTACACTCTCACCGATGCTGTAGACCAAACGAACGTTTTCAGCTGATGCATACTTTGGGATATATGGACTAGTGCATCGTGTAGGGGCTGTGAATGGAAATGCATACGTATGGTTAATAATATAGCATTAGGAGTTTAGACAGAGAAAGGTATGATCAATATCTACAGATTCAACTAGGAGCTGACTTATTAATACCATAATGTACATGCTACAATAATGGATAATGCCGAATAGTTTTACAACCAATACCGCAGCGATCAAACTCTTACCGTACTGGACCTCCTAACTTGAACTATTAACACCTATCTCTATATAATGCTTCGTCTAGATATAGCCTTAATAATCACAAGTGTTGATCGATCTAACATTCCGATAATAAGCCACATCAAAATGTTACCTGATAATAAGTCGGATCTTTAGTAACGTGCCGAGCCCCATACTATTTGTATTTTCTAGCAGTTTGGGCAATTGGATTGTTGTTCGTTAAACTCTGTTTGGAATTTGAACAATTACAATTAGCACAGTAACGGGCACTTTTTCCTGAATCTAATAGGGATCTCATATGACGAAAGCCAGTCGAACTTTTCCTGTCAGGGGGATAAGTTTCAGATACAAATGCACATATATGTCGTTATATTGTTCACTTCTTTAAAAACCGCAATGCAGCATATAACTAACTACAAGTCAGCATATTTATTGATATATTTCAGTCGTTGTCAATGTTTATGATCTAAAGTGATCGAAATTGAAGAAAGAAAAAAAACTCGCAAACTTGACTCTTATCGGAGTCCCGTATTTATGTACCGTCTGTGGCAATAATAATAATGGATACACATATGTAATAGATACCTGAGACAGGTGGCGGGCACGTCTGCATTGGTCCACTCCATAACCCAGTGTTTTCACAAAGAAGACTAAACGGTTGAATGGTGGTATTGTCACATCGGAATGTCACACTGTCTCCAAGGTTATAATTCGGGCTAAGGGTTTCGAGCGTTGAGTATCTCGGGACTGAAGGAGCATTACAGTTCGTAGGAAGAGCTAGAGTTGAGGGAAACAAATTATAAGTTACTTGCTTCACAACTGTACTAAATGCCTACAATTTCTAATTTATGTCTGAACCCCTAGTTTTGCGGATTGTGTAAACTAAACTAAACGAAAACAATATGTTTTACTTTCACCAAATTGCGAATACTTTTCACGAAATTAAGTGCAACAAGAAAATATATACTGACTAAAGAACAAAAGAAGCAATCACGTATGCAACAAATTCAGCACTATCATTTGGCAATTAGTGCCCATCAGCTTCACTGACATTGCGAGTTTACAGTGTCTTACCAGCTCAGGATTCATTCGGGTAATTGAGTTGGACTATGGATATGTGTTTATGAACAGAGCGAATTATTCCGTTCAGAACGTTTCGTAATGGGACGAACATATTCACGCATCGTACACCTGACTGAGTGTTAGGGGTTTTGATGCATTTTTTAGATTCAAATCTTAATAGAAGCAAAGTGATCCTGAAACGGGTACGGATTGGAATATTATCTTACCCCTTGCGGTCGATTCAGGGCAGGATACAATCGGTCCACTCCAAAGCCCTTTGTTATGACACTGAAGGTTGAAGGTATCAGAACTGGCATTGCACGTCACGGTAATTTTGGCACCAAAGTTGTAGTTGAGACGAGGATTTGTAACATGTGCGTGTGCGGGAATGTACGGGGCGCTGCAAGGAATTGAACCTGTGAGGAAGGTCATAATCAATTATTTTAAAAGGATTTTGTTTCGTTATTTCTTAACAAGAACAAAATTGTACATTGCAATTTGAGAGTATCTCACCCAATGTAATGCAGTGACAAACTATTTGTTGCGGATAATGAAACTTCGAAATTTAAGAATAATGGAAAATATTTCGACGTTATTTTGATGATTCTTCTTTTGGATTTAATTCAATATGGATCCCTTGAAAAGGGTTGTAGACGGTAATCATTAATAACAATTGTCTTCTGGACGTTACTGCGGGGAAGGGGGTACGTGAGGAAAGAAACTTCCAGTTAAACGCATTACCTAGTTTGTAGCATATCAGTATTTGCTTGGGTCTTATGTGATATTTAATCAAATGTGTTTATTGGGAAGGGATGGATATTTTAGTATGTTTTGTCTCCTTTGTAATTCTGCTTACGGTAATGTTTTCTATATACCAAATGGATTTAAATTAGCAGCATTATTTGTATAATTGCCCTTCTTTTTGTGTACAAAAGTTGTATTGAATCATGAATTAAAGCTCTTTAGGAAAGTAAGGAACAGCCATTTGATTGTTGCTTATTCTGATCTGTCTATAAAGGGAATGTTGGTGAACTGCTTTTAATACAGCATGGCTTTAATACACACTTTATTATTCAGCCTCCCTGTCTATATTGCTTACTTCTTCTACGGAGGTATCGGTTTTCAAACGTTGATTAAACGACTGGCGATGTGCTATTCACCAATTTCAATTTGATAAATTGCATAGAACGAACGTTTGTGTGGATGTTTTTATTTCTGTCCAGTGTTTGGTTTGTTATTTGTTTTACCTGACTGCTAAGAAAGCAGGTGTATGCTTGTAAGTAATCTATCTAAATGTATCTCTGTCAAACGTCTCACCTTGTTTGTGGCATATGATATATGTTTGGAATTTGGATGAGTATGGAGTAAACGTGCAGATTTGCTGTGTCAAAGTTAGTAAGCACAGCTAGACACCTGGGTCATAGTAATTGTGGTGGTAATGTAGTTTTATCATAAATCTGATTCAAAAACCAAATTGTAGACAAATGTTCGGGATATGCTGATTTATATCAACATCATTCTGCCATACATATATATATATTTATATATATATATATATTATGTCCAAGAACCAAATTGACCACTATTCGTTTCGAAATGTCCAGTGTCTTTCCTGCCAATATAAGATACATGAGTCAGTCTTTGTTTTCCCATAATCTTAAATTGCTAAAGTTGTATTTCATTTGACAAAGTTAGAATAACTTGCTAAAGAAAATAACCATTTATCTATGTTCTCTATGTAGTCGCTTTACGCCAGACATTTAGAAACAAACTTGAAATGATTCAAACAATAACCCTTAAAAGTACAATGCTGGCATATTGGACTAAATTGATCGGCATACAACGAGTTAAAATCACTGCTCCTGCCACAATAATACGAACGAAGGTGGTAGAAGGGAGTAACACTGATCTAATTAAGCAGAACATTATATTAACTCCACGTTTTCGTATAATTTCTAAGAGTTTAAAGATGTTTGTCACGGAACTGTTCTTAAAATTTTAGTCAAATGTCTCACCTAGTTTGTGGAATGCGATTTTCGGATTTTCGGATTTTTGTTTAAAGTAGATGAGCAGACTTGGAAGTTTCACCATTCTTAACGATATTTGAACATGAGGGTCATAGTGTACGGGGTGCTCATTCAAGAATATATCGTCACCAGCGAGCTTATATACACACACACACACACCCACATGCACACGCGCATTCTTGTTATTCATGTTTTGCGTTACATAGAACACAATATATGGTATTAAAAGAAGAAGTTTCATGCTATAAATCCAACATCATTTGATAGCTCACGAATGTTCGACATACCTAACGTCTCGTTCAACTCATAAATATATCGACAGTATAGAGGAAGTAAAAATGTAAAACAAAAATATAACTACCCTAAATGATCAAGATGATAGATAGAAATTGAACAAGGAAATGGAGGAAGAGAAGATGAAGTAGTAGGTAATGTATGTTTTAATAAGAAAAGAAGTTTGAGAAGATGAATACAAACCTTA